ATAGATAGATAGATAGATAGATAGATAGATAGATAGATAGATAGATAGATAGATAGATAGATAGATAGATGCTGATAGTCTGCATTTTCACACTTTTTTCAGTTGGACTATCACTTGTTTTTTTTAACATTTCAACAATATTATGAAGACAAACTATATAGGCCTACTGGTTGCTTATGGTGCTGATGACATTATACAAATGACTAATTTTAGTCAATTTAATTTAGTCATATATATATATATAGGCCTAAGCATTTTTTGTTATCATTCAAAGCAGCACAACTGCAATGCAAGTGCAGATATAAGAGCAGCTGAAGTCGCTCACCGTCTTTCCACACCGCCTCTCCACCGCTCGCTTGACTTTCCCGTACGCGCCTCTGCCCAGCGTCTCCAGCACTTGGAAGCGGCGCTTGAGGCTGTGTTTGTGCTGGTGCTTCTTCACCTCTGCTCGCTCCTCCGGTGTGTGTGTGCAGTCCATCGCGCCGAGGAGCAGCTCACCTGTGAAGCGTGCTGGAGACACTGTTTTGAACGGCGACTTAAGATGAGTTTTTCTGATATTTACTGGGATAAAATGTCAGGAAAGAGACTAACATGTTATTCTTCTGAAAGTCTCGAGCATCTTCTGGCTGTGCTCTTTTCCTCCGGAGCCCGGCATCGCTGATGGGATTCACCACATGATGACGCGCGTGTGAGGGGCGGAGTCGAGCTGTCAATCATCAGCAGTGACGCGCATCAGTGCCAGGATGAGACTGCTGACTCCAATCCTACCTCACAGAAAACATCCATTACAAATAACGCCATCTCTGAACAGCAAATCATGGATGTTGAAGTCATATAAACTGCAGTCACCAGTTCACACACACACACACACACACAAATTATTTTTAAGAAAAAGTTTCAAGCAGAACATTTTATATAAAAAAAAAAAGTTGCAATTGCAAAAATGTCTCAGAAAAGTGTTGGTAAATTGTGATAAAGGGCTTTGATTTTATATTTTGTATTAAAAATATTGAAGTTCGTATAGATGTCTTAAAGGGGTCATATGATGCGATTTAAATTGTTCCTTTCTCTTTGGAGTGTTACAAGCTCTTGGTGCATAAAGAAGATCTGTAAAGTTGCAAAGTCTAAAGTCTCAAATCCAAAGAGATATTCTTTATAAAAGTTCAGAGTCAGCCACGCCCTCCTAAAACGGCTCGTTCTAACACGCCCCCACATGTCTACCTCACGATGTGGGAAGATTTGCATAACGCCACCCAAATGTTCACGCAAAGAAAGAAGGCGTAACTTTTATTCTCGCTGTAGTATTGTTGTTGCCTCTGCCGCCATGTCGTGAAGGCGCTGTGTGTTTCGTTGTGAAAGCGAAACTACTTTGTTTGGTCTTCCAAAAGAGGACGATATCCGCTTCGTCATGCCTGGAGCTGATCCGTGCTGGTCGCTGAGGAAATACATCAACTTTGCGCTGTGGATCGCCGGATCGGCTTTCACCGTGGACGAAGCGGAGTCCAGCCCGGGGTCGTCACATGTGGTTGCAGCAAGCCTCCTTCGTCGAATCCGCCGGCCGCACCGTTCTCAAGCCCGCCGCCTCTGCTCACTCAAGCCCGGCCTTATACTGGACTGAAATATTATCATAAGTTTCCCAAGCAGAAAAAAAAGCCACATGAATATAAATTAGGCTATATTTATGAGCGTTGAATAAACTCTTTAGAAATGTGTCAATCAGCAAACGAAAAGCATTTATATTAATTTTAAAAAGGTTCGGGAGGAGCACGATCAGATAATCAACCAATTTGGCACAGGTGTAACCCGTTTGGCTAATCATCCTAACTAGCACAATGCATATATATACACAGCCTACTTACCTCTATCCTACAACAGTTTTCCGGTGTTGTGCCCATTTTCAACCCCTGCCAAATTATTAGCCCCTTTCGTTGAAATCGCTACCTGATTGCCTAAACCTAACCCCACCCCTAACCCCTCCCCCACACCTAACCCTAAACCTACCAATACTAGGGGGGTAGGAATCTGGCGGGGGTAATCTATTCTCATCCCATACTAAGGATAGGGGGAGCTCTCTGGGTTCGGGCTATATTCCGGGCTCGGAGCCCTCCCCCAGGACAGCACACCAAAATATGCTTACTATTTGCTCAATCAGATTATATGTAAGGGTGAGCTCGTGAAACAAGAAAAAGCATCTCATGCTTTGTGTCTAAATGCATATTGGTTTCACGGGAAGTTCAACAAAAAGCCGAGCGAACACTAAAAAAGAGTCGTTGCTATGGAAATGATAGTCTAGAAGCGGTAGTATTGGTGTAATAATAACACTACTACACTGACCTACTACTGCCCCCGTTGAGAATCACTACTTTATAATGTGAAATTCTGCCTTGCTGTAGAGGTATGTTGTCTCAAAAGGATGGTAGGCTACATGTTAAATGAACTGCATTTTGTAATTTTTATTAAATGGACTCAAAAATTAGTAGAACTAAAACCAGACAACATTTTGGAATTCTACCATTCATCTGTCAGATTCAGCGAATGTTTTTCCAAAATAATATCAAGTATATTTACATAACCATGTCTGGTGAATTGGTTCCATACTCATTGGCTGTTGACTGTTACGTAAGTTCATACAACACAACTCTTAAAATATGTTAGTGGAGGTCATCTTGGCAAATAAAACTACTAAAAGTCAACTAACAGATGACAAAATGTAAAACACACCAGACAGTGTTTTTAATTATAGCATAGGCTTTCACTTGGGTAAAAGACAGCCTTTCGTGTTCACTGTGAAATGTATCACTTAGCAGCTTATCAGCATAACAAAGACTGAAACTGTCATTATTCTGAACAACATTCCTGGTCTAGCACAGATTGTCCAGATATTGTCCAAAATGTGCTTTGGACAAAAAGTTTTAAGTCAGCAAAGTGATAAAAAAAAGAAAGAAAAACACTCTTTTTGCCAGTGTGTTTCTGAGTCAGTGAAGTGTCACGAGTTAATTTACAGATGTGTGATCCATTTGGCACGCTCATGTTTATGGGACTGCATGCTCTGGGTGTGGTGTGGGATTGACCTGTGAAGACTCTGATAAGGACCCAAGAACTTTTCTCATGTGGACATTTCTGGTTTGCACTCATAACTGCACATTGAAATCTGCCTTTGGCTGCACCTATAGATGATTCCTTCCATCATGTCTGTCATCTCTGCTTGAAAACTCTTGAACATTACTCTCAGTGAAAAGGAGAATCTTCAAAGACATATCCTTTGTGAAAAAAAAGTCTCAATCCATACGTGAACCCCTGGGAGGGGTTTAAGGTGGTTTGCTGAAACCCCTAAACCTAAGCAGAGAGGAGCATATATGAACATGAACAGGACAGACATGGGTGTATCTGATCATGCCGGAGTAACAGTCTGTGTGGAGAGGATCATCCTGGATGAACTTAAACTAGAGGAAGTAGCACAACGGCAGACTGAAATCCAGCGGTCCTCTATAAAGGAGAAGATCTGTGACTCTGTAAGGTAAGATGCAAAGACAGTGTGACAAAATCTGTCTAAATTTGGTTCTACTGCAAACAGTTGCAATATGGGTAAATACTGGCATGCACCTTGCAGATTATTCAAAGCAACTTACATTGGATTGTATGTATACACTGTATGAGTGTATAATGAGAATCAAACCCATGATCTTGGTGTTACTTACAATTATTCATTATTAAGATTTTGTTTTGTAAATGAACAATATACACATACAAGTTCAAAAAGTCAAATGAACAGTCTTGTTTATACTAGGGATGTTGTAAAATGTGAGCTTGCGTAACCATTTTGAAAGCAACATAACTGTTTACATGTACGATTGCTTAAACTATATAGAGCATGTAATTTTGTTGTCATTTCATACACTGTAAAATGGCAACCAGCAATCGTTACCTTTAAGCTATTTCTTAAAGCTATTAAAGCTATTTCTTCCTGATTTAACCCAGTTTTTTGTTGGTATATATATCTTATAGTGATGTTAAATAATATTTCACACTTGAATAAAAGTAACCCTTTTCTGGTTACCATTTTTTTTCAGTGTATCCTTTATTACAGTACAGCTCTTTTATGATGTTTTTAGGGATGCATAGCCTACTGTAAACTAATCAGCTTGGCATCTCATTAGTTAAAATTTAGTGTTTGCTGTTCTAATCTTGTGGATATCGTTGCAGTCAGCCAGTAATGTCAAGGATATAATTAAGTTATATTCTATAAACACATTCTATAAAGCTCTTTATTCTCCCACTGTCTGCTCAAGGTGCTCTGTGGGACAGTGGAAGATTTGGATTCTAAAGTGGATACCGCTTCTCTCCTGGATCCCCCAGTATTCTGTTCGGGAGAACGGACTTGGTGACCTGGTTTCAGGTGTCAGCGTGGGAATCATGCATCTGCCTCAGGGTCGGTTTACAAGTGCAAATTACAAAGGAATTACACATAGGGGAAAAATTCTAAAAAAAAAAAGCCAAAAAGCAATTGCCAGAATGTCCACCCCAAAAAAGCTGATAATCGGTCTAAACAATGTTTTAAATAAATTATAACAGCCGATATGAATGGGAAGTCAAAGGGATACATTTATAAGTGTGTGTGTGTGTGTGTGTGTGTACCTGGTATTTATCACGTTATGGGGACCAAATGTCCCCACAAGGATAGTAATACTAGTAAATTACACCTCCTTCTATCCTGTACTAGTGTACTTCATCTTTGGCACTTCTAGACACGTCTCCATAGGTAAGGGAAGAAAAAGAATATATATTATGTAAAAACTTATATATATATATATATTTAAACAAAATATATTTTATACCAGTATGCAATATTTTTACCTGCATTATCATGTATAATGTCATTGTCATACATAGCCTACACAGTATGAAAACTGATTTGCGTTCCTTAAATGTTCCAGGAACCTTTGCAGTGATTAGCATAATGATCGGGAGCGTCTCAGAGCGATTGGCTCCTGACGATCACTTTCTGACCAATGGGACAAATGGATCAGTCCTCATGGACACGGAGGCGCGAGATGTTCAGCGAGTGAAAGTGGCTGCAGCCACAACCTTATTGTGCGGCATATTTCAGGTGAGTCTTGCAAAACAACACATGAAAGAATCTGGAAACAAACATGAAAATACAAAAGAATGAACAAACAAGTAAAAAAACAAACCAAACAATAATGCATGCTATATGTGGGGCAAAATACTTGAAGGAATGTGAAAAACAATCAAATAAAGAGGCTACACAAGAAAATAAAAGAATAAACAAACAAAGGCAAGAATCAAAAACAAACAAACATATTTTCAAACCAGTGCAAACTAAACAAACTAAACTAAATAATAAAACCAACAAGCACCTTGGACCTGTAAAGTTTCCGTTTGTTTGTTTGTTTGTTTTGTTTAAAAGAGGTTTTGCTGATGAAGTAAGTGCTTCTGTAGGTTCTGTTGGGTCTGGTTCGGTTCGGGTTCCTAGTGACGTATCTCTCGGAGCCCTTAGTGCGGGGCTACACGACAGGTGCGGCCACTCACGTGATCACCTCTCAACTCAAATACATGTTTGGAGTTTCACCCAGACGATTCAGTGGACCCCTGCAGCTGATGTATGTGAGTATTTCAGTTGGTTAAATCTTAACAACGTAAACTGAGAATAACATGCAATAATTCTGACCGACACTGCCATTTAGGCCTTTTATTAAAGATTGTAAATTGACGGATGATTTATAAAAATTATTTTTAATAGCTAATTATTATTATTAATAATAATGGCCTTTCTAGACTGTTACCTCACAATTCTGAGAAAAAAAAATCTGAATTATGAAATTGGGAGGGGAAAAAATGCCAGAAACTCATAAATATAAACTTGTAAGGGGGAAAAACTGAATTAGAGATGTTAACTCAATATTGCAAGATATAAATCTCGGATTGAAATAAAATGATAATTGTGAGGTAAAAAGTTGCTTTTACCATTTTTTTTTTTTTCCGTGGTATAAACAGCATACAATATAATGGGAATTTAATACATGACTATGTCAAAAAAATGTTTTAATAAATTATACAGATTCTCAAATTATTTTGTTTACCTTATAGAAAATCGTAAATGTTTCTTTTTAAAAGACAGTGGTGTAATGTCAGATTACTTTTCTTAGGGAATTAATTATTATTAATTAATTCAGGTTTTGAGAGGACTCGAATCTGAAAATTCGAAGTCAACCTGATTAGAACTGATTTCAAATTTGATAGTTTACACTTTATCAACTACTTGTCCTGCGAGAGGTTAACGTCCATGTATATTAACGATTCTGTTCATATTACTTCGTGGCCAACGACACATAAACAAAATGGTAATCTTATTAATTTTGAGCAAGGTAACAAGGATCTAGGCAGAGTTTTAACTTTAAAAATGTCACCACACCAGACAATACTTCTTTATCTGTAACACCGTGTGTCCCAACCAGATGCGACGAGACGCGATAAAAAGTATCTTTTCCATGTAGTTTTTGTCCTAGCCACCCGCGACAGCAACACGTGACAATAAGCGACCCGACCAGAGTCGAGAGAAGGCTTATGTTCCTGAGTTTAGCTCAGAGAGTGCTTCTATCCACGAGTCTAGCCCAGAGAGGGCTCCTGTTTCCGTGTTTAGCCCAGAGAAGGCTAAATGATGTTACCTATGTAACCGGTATGTACTAGAACCGAATCCGAACGCAGATTTTGGTGCCTCATTTCGGTGCCATGCCTGAGCGATCGATTGAAATATTTGTCCTCTGGTTCCGACTTAAAAGCACAACTCGAGAAATGAAACCATTCGAGGAGAATGCAGTAATTACACTTGCTCTGATGGCAGCAGGTAGCCTTCCCTTAACTAAGCTAAACATGCTTAAATTAAAATGCCTAAAGCTAAACTTCCCTTGTATTCACATTTCTAAACCTGTTGTCCAACAAAAGAGAACATTATAACCTTTTTACTCCACAACACCAGTCAAATGCTTCCTTTTGTGATCTGATGTGGCTTCTTGTCACAGAATGAGGCAGAAAATATGTTCCATAGGCTACTTTAAAAAGAATACATCGATTAGCAATGGATTATAAATATACTTCATTATTATGAAAATACCAGAGATGGCTTAAATAACACAGATAAACTATATTGTCGCAGTCGGGTGTTTATTGTCTTTGTTTTATATGTTCTGTTTACTCAGTTACAGATATAATAGCCATGCCTTTGTCCATATAAGGGATTTCCTGGAGGGTCATTAGTTCGCTACTTCTGTGACTGGATATGTGGATTTTCTGTATGAGGGCACCCTCTGGCGTCCAGTATGAATGAAACACAATCATGTGTTTATAGTGCTAATGGCCAATCCATCATTTTTTGGGGGAATTTTTATTTTTTTATTTTTTAATACGTTTCGGTTCAGGCACTAGAACCATTTTAAAAGTATCGATTTGGCACCGGTATCGAAAAAAAAACAAACGATACCCAACCCTATCCCCGAGTCTAGCCCAGAGAAGGCCCCTGTTCCCGAGTATACCCCAGAGAGGGTTCCTGTTTTCATGTTTAGCCCAGAGAAGGCTTTTGTTCCCGAATTAGGCCCAGAGAGGGCTTCTGTTCCCAAGTTTGCCCCAGAGAGGGCTTTTATCCCCGAGTCTAGCCCAGAGAGGGCCCTTGTTCCCGAATTTTGCTCAGAGAGGGTATCTGTTCCTGACCGGAGTCCAGTGCAGGCTCCAGCCCCAGACCAGAGTCCAGTGCAGGCTCCAGCCCCAGACCAGAGTCCAGTGCAGGCTCCAGCCCCAGACCAGAGTCCAGTGCAGGCTCCAGCCCCAGATCAGAGTCCAGTGCAGGCTCCAGACCCAGTCCAGTGTCCAGTGCAGGCTCCAGCCCCAGACCAGAGTCCAGTGCAGGCTCCAGCCCCAGACCAGAGTCCAGTGCAGGCTCCAGCCCCAGATCAGAGTCCAGTGCAGGCTCCAGACCCAGTCCAGTGTCCAGTGCAGGCTCCAGCCCCAGACCAGAGTCCAGTGCAGGCTCCAGCCTTCGACCAGAATCCAGTACAGGTCCCAGCCTTTGACCAGAATGCAGAGCACATTTTAGCCCTCGATCAGAATCCAGAGTTGGCTTCAGCCCCAGACCAGAGTCCAGTAAAGGCTCCTGCCAATGATCTGAGTCCTAGACACATGGCCAGGAGTGCCGTTCCCTCTTCAGTCGGATTAAATGTCTTTGCCACAGCCAGGAGAGCCGTTCCCATCGCTGTAAGAATCAGCTACCCTATAACTATATACCCACATTGATGCTTGCATATAGAACAGCCACAGGCTCAGCACCCGCCTACTTCCACTCACTACTACGAATCTACATGGCTCCAGCCCCAGTCCAGTGCAGGCTCCAGCCCCAGTCCAGTGCAGGCTCCAGCCCCAGTCCAGTGTCCAGTGCAGGCTCCAGCCCCAGACCAGAGTTCAGTGCAGGCTCCAGCCCCAGTCCAGAGTCCAGTGCAGGCTCCAGCCTTCGACCAGAATCCAGTACAGGTCCCAGCCTTTGACCAGAATGCAGAGCACATTTTAGCCCTCGATCAGAATCCAGAGTTGGCTTCAGCCCCAGACCAGAGTCCAGTAAAGGCTCCTGCCAATGATCTGAGTCCTAGACACAAAGCCTGTAGTGCCGTTCTCTCTTCAGTCAGATTAAATGTATTTGCCGCGGCCAGGAGAGCCATTCACCTCGCTGTAAGAATCAGCTACCCTATCACGGCCAGGAGTGCCATTGCCATCGCTGTAAGAATCAGCCGCCCTATCACGGCCAGGAGTGCCATTCCTTCTTCAGTTGGATTAAGTTCCCTAGTCACGGCCAGGAGTGCCGTTCCCTCTGTAATCAAGAGGAGTTTTCCCATCCCAGCCTGGAGAGCCGTTCCTCCTCCTATGGATAGTAAATCCCTAACCTCAACTCCTGTATTCAGGTGGTCATCCGCTCCAGAGCGCCCTCTAGTGTCCGCTCCTCCAGAGTGCCCTCCAGTGTCTGCTCCTCCAGAGCACTCTACAGTGTCTGCTCCTTCAGAGCACCATCCAAAGCTCGCCCCAGGGTCTTCCGCATGCCCGGCACCTCCATGGCCTCCCGAAGGGCCGGCGCCTCCCTGGCTCCCTGAAAGGCCAGGGAGCAGCCGCACGGGAGGTGTCCTAACCTGCAAGCACCGCCCTATTCACCTGTCCGTTACCTGCCACAGCTCCTGGACGCCTGTCCTCTCTCCCTGTTGTCTAGTGACATATACTACATGTTGAAATAAAGTTTTTGACCATTTTTTAAAATAAAATTATAACATTTCAGCCTTTAAATCTTATATATATATATATATATATATATATATATAAGGATTATATATATAAGGATGAGTCAGAATGATAAATTAAATTTTATCTGCTCTATAAACAGTTCTAATGTGCATTCTAAAAATCTCTACACTTCTGATAACAAGGTAGCGAACGGTTAAGATTTACATCAAAAATTTGGTCAGAATTTCACATTGGTCTGAACAAAAATGTGTCAGTCAGACTGAATGAATTTGTAAATCCACAGTTTGACAGCAGGTGGTGCTTATGAACAGCAGAAATAGAGCTGTTTATTAAATCTAATTGGACCAGTAAAAAAGAAAAGAAAAGAAAAGAAAAGAAAAGAAGTGGCTACGGAGCTAGAAACAACTTAATTACATTTTAGTGGCGAAAAGTGCTGGACTGGTCAAATCATATTATAATAGGCCTACCTATGGACTAGTGGCATCAAAATGCTCACATTACATTGGTTTGCTAATTATGCTTAACAATGGGTCCAGTGTTTCCCACAGGGTTTTGTGAGAATATGATGGGAAGACCTCGATCCCTTTTGGTAGGTCCAAGACAATTTTGTACATTTTAAAATTAAATGCATGAATCTGGTGCACTTTGAGAGTTCGAATTTAAGAGCTCCAACCCAGGTTAAGTGTCCACATGGAACAGTAAAAAGTCTTTGCATTGACTTGTACCTGGACTTTAAGTCAATTTTTGTGTCCTGTTCACTGAAATCAGCGGTCCTGTTTTGAGATATCTTAGGGTTTAATACTGGGATTGGTTTCCATAATTTCCCTTTGGATGACGAAACAAGAAAAAAGGGCATTCACAATAACTTTCTTGAGGATTTTAACATTAACTAATTAATTAGTCATATTCCCAAACGCACTCTTGCCTCCACCGTCACTCAAAGCACTGCACTAATATGCACACAGATAAAATATAGACCTTAAGTACAATCAATCTACAAAAATCAGCTTCAGTCACATTTTAAAAATGCACATTTATTTTATTAATGAACTCCTCTCTGTCTTTAGACTCTGGTGGAACTGGGCAGGTTATTACCACAGACTCACATTGCCACTCTTCTGATCAGTCTGGTGGCTCTCACAGCTCTGATCATTGTGAAAGAGATCAACTCCTGCTACAGTCACAGATTACTCCTCCCTGTTCCCATAGAGCTCATGGTGGTGAGTAGCTACACATGTACCATGTTTCTTCAGATGTCAAACCAGAAAACTCCAACCTAGTAAGTACACAAAGAGACAGATGCAACAGCTTTGTGTGTCTATTTACAGATTATTGCAGGGACACTTGTTTCTCATTATGCTGATCTGAGAGCTGTTAATGGTGTCGACGTGGTGGGAGAAATTCCCAGTGGGTAAGTGTGTGTTTCACATTACACTTAGTTACATTGAGTGGATACTAGAGGAACACAGTGAGCTTTCACTAGCAACAGCAGGCTTAAAATCATTTTAGTCTGACATTGTTTGCATGTGCATGTGTTTCTTTTTAAACACTGACCTCATGCAGGAGGTTAGAAAGTTCTTGGTGGCTCAGTTCTTGGTCTTAATCTTGGTTGACTGACTTTGTTAATCCATCAAAACACGTCTACAGTAAAGCACTAATCCCAGGCCTCATGAAATTCTGTCTCTTTCTGTACACCCTCACGTGAGACATTAGGAGGACTTTTGACTTCTTTAAGCATATAAAGGACACACACAAAGGTCAGTGGAGAGCAGTGTTATTTTAGTATCATTGTTAAAGTTTTTGTAAAAGGCATAGTTCACCTAAAAATTAAACATTTACTCATTTACTCATTTAAGTAAATTTAATCATTTACTTAGCCTCATTTTTTTCCAAACCTGTATGAGGTTAATTTTTCAGCTGAACACAAAATAAGATATTTTGAAGAATGTGGGTAACCAAAGAGTTGCTGCTCCCCACTGACTTCCACAGTATGGAAAAATTAAATGGGGACCAGAAATGTGTCTCCATTTTGAATTAGATTTTATTTTAATAATATATTCTATTTTCACTTTTGTTAAAGTTTTTGTCATATTTATTATTTATAAAAAAAAAAAAACATGTATATAGTTTTTATTAATTCAAATGTATTAGTTTTAGTCATTTTGGAAATATTGCATTGGCAACTAGCTGAAATAAAATACACTTTTAAATATAGAGGTTCCTTATTGGCATCTGTGGTTCCATGAAGAGCCTTTAACATCCATGGAAACTTTCCATTGCACACTACATTCTTTATAATGGAAAAATGTTCTTTAGATTGTTAAAATGTTCTTCACACTAAGAAAAAAAAAGCTTATTTGTGACCCTGGACCACAAAACCAGTCATAAGGGTCAATTTCTCAAAATTGAGATTTATACATCATCTGAAAGCTGAATAAATAAGCTTTCCATTGATGTATGGTTTGTTAGGATAGGACAATATTTGGCCGAGATACAACTATTTGAAAATCTGGAATCTGAGGGTGCAAAAAAATCAAAATACTGAGAAAATCGCCTTTAAAGTTGTCCAAATGAAGTTCTTAGCAATGCATATTACTAATCAAAAATTAAGTTTTGATATATTTACGGTAAGAAATTTACAAAATATCTTCATGGAACATGATCTTTACTTAATATCCTAATGATTTTTGGCATAAAAGAAAAATCGATAATTTTGACCCATACAATGTTTTTTTGGGCTATTGCTACAAATATACCCGTGTGACTTAAGACTGGTTTTGGGCTCCAGGGTCACATATTAAGAACTGTTTGCAAGAAGGTTCTTTGGGAAACCAGAAATGGTTCTTCTATGACATCACTACAAAAACACACTTTTAGAACCTTTATTTTTAAGATTTTAAGTTTTTTTTTTAATTTCAGTTTATATTTTATTTTATTTCAAGTAACCATTTTTTATTTCAGTTTTAATTTCAGTTAACTATAATAGCCCTAGAGCCATGTTAGTAATCTATAACCTCTGACCTTCCTCAGACTGGTGCCACCCAGAGTCCCAGAGGTAGGTTTCTTCTCCTCAGTGGTTGGAGACGCGTTTGCTGTGGCTGTGGTGGGATACGCCATCAGCATTTCTCTAGGCAAGACTTTTGCTCTCAAACATGGATATAAAGTAGACAGCAATCAGGTACAGCATCTGTCACGCAAAACAAACCCATGTCACACATATAGTGCGCACTTGATCACATATATATCATGTTCTGAAAAATATATGTGCAGTGTGGGGTGGTGAGTGTCTCTCATTGTCCCTCTGCAGGAGTTGGTGGCGTTGGGGCTCAGTAACACCATTGGTGGCTTTTTCCAGTGCTACTCCGTCACTTCCTCCATGTCTCGCAGTCTTGTGCAGGAGAGCACGGGGGGGAAGACACAGGTGATTTTCCGCTAAGCACAAATATACACTGGAGTTCAAAAGTTTGGGCTCAGTAAGATTTATTTATTTATTAAAGAAATTAATACAAAGACATTTGTAATGTTACAAAACATTTCTGTTACAAATAAATGCTATTCTTTTGGACTTACGATTCATCATAGAATCCTGAAAAATAAAGTTATGAAGCACAAACATATGAAGCGGCACAAATGTTTTCAACATTGATAATACTTAATAATAAATGTTCTTTGAACAGCAAATCAGCATATCAGAATGATTTCTGAAGGGTCATGTGACACTGAAGACTGGAGTAATGATGCTGAAAATTCACATAGAAAACAGTAATTTTCAATTTTAATAAAATTTCAAATTTTTACTGTATTTTGGATCAAATAAATGCAGATTTGGCGAGCAGAAGAGTCTTCTTTCAAAAACATTAAAAAGTCATACAGACCCCGAATCTTTGTGCATACAGTATACCTGTAAAACATACAGTTATGCACAACTACAAATATGCTTTTTGTGTCACACAGGTGGCTGGCATGATATCTGCTGTTATTGTGTTCATTACAGTTTTGAAGCTTGGTCCACTTTTTGAGCAACTGCCCACAGTAAGTTATGCACTCAAATGAACATTGGTCAAAGTGTACAGCTACAATTAAAATAGAGAGAGGCATTTGTGATACAGAGTTCAACTATGAAATTAAAATAATTGCAATTAATAAAACTCTGTAATTCAGGACCTCTCTACACATATTTACATTCATTTGTGGCTCTTGTGTCCAATGTTGTTATTGTTAACTAAAACCAAATCTATTAAAAATAATTTTCAGAAACTGAAATAGAGTTGAAATTGTCAAGCTACTGCTGTTAGGGAGACGAAGGCACGACGAAGATTATAACAAATCCTTTTAATGGTAATCCACACGAAGAAGAGGGTCTACCACACAGGGTAACATCAACAATACCGGACAAAGGAAGACAGGACAGACTACACTTTAAATACGGGAGCAAATGACACACACCTGAACTAAATTACACAGTCAAACATGAGGGAAACTAGGTCACACAGAGCACGAGGGATGAAAACAGAACAAAAGTCCAATGGGGTGTGACAGAAATAACATCAAATAAAATATAAAATAAAAAATAACTTACACTTAAAAAATGTTGCCCTGGCAATTGCCTGAAATAAATGAAATAAATCAGATGTTTAAGTACTGAAATTACTAAAATCAAATTAAAAATACATTTAAATTGCATAAACACTGCTCTTATAATTCATTTGTTCATTGTTAATTGGTTGCATCCACATCGTCAATGACTTGCCAATCACATATTTTTTTTTTTTTAAAGTGAAAAAAAAAAAAAAAACAGAAAACAGCCAAGCTGCAGGTACTTTGTCAAACTGCATAAACATTTGTATGTATCTGAATATTTTGTGGTAATTTCAAATATAATGTAGTTTATAATTATAATTGGACAACCATGCATCCTATTTTTTCCTGAACATGTCCTGGTCAGGATTTGTAAATTGCCTAAAATGTCCTGGGTTTGGTTTTGTTTTCCTGTTGTTTTCATACTTGATGAAGGTGATGACTTTGACCAATAGTGTGCAGGTATTATACATAATCGACCAATTGTGGTGTGCGAGAAGGCGGATTCTACAGTGAAGGGTCAAAGCAATGCATTGCAAATACACTGTAGAAAGCAAGTCAGTATGAAAACATATGTATGCATATTAGTGCTGTCAAACGATTAATCGCCGATTAATCGCATCCAAAATAAACGTTTTTGTTTACATATGTGTGTGTACTGTGTATATTTATTATGTATATATAAATACACACACATGCATGTATATATTTCAGAAAAATATATTGTTTATATATTAAATATATTTATCATATAAATTATATGTATAGACATGTAAATACATGTAAATATTTTCAAAATATATACTGTATCTGTGTGTATATATATACATAATAAATATACACAGAACACACATATATTATGCAAACACCAACTTTTCTATTAAAAATAATTTTCAGAAACTGAAATAGAGTTGAAATTGTCAAGCTACTGCTGTTAGGGAGACGAAGGCACGACGAAGATTATAACAAATCCTTTTAATGGTAATCCACACGAAGAAGAGGGTCTACCACACAGGGTAACATCAACAATACCGGACAAAGGAAGACAGGACAGACTACACTTTAAATACGGGAGCAAATGACACACACCTGAACTAAATTACACAGTCAAACATGAGGGAAACTAGGTCACACAGAGCACGAGGGATGAAAACAGAACAAAAGTCCAATGGGGTGTGACAGAAATAACATCAAATAAAATATAAAATAAAAAATAACTTACACTTAAAAAATGTTGCCCTGGCAATTGCCTGAAATAAATGAAATAAATCAGATGTTTAAGTACTGAAATTACTAAAATCAAATTAAAAATACATTTAAATTGCATAAACACTGCTCTTATAATTCATTTGTTCATTGTTAATTGGTTGCATCCACATCGTCAATGACTTGCCAATCACATATTTTTTTTTTTTTAAAGTGAAAAAAAAAAAAAAAACAGAAAACAGCCAAGCTGCAGGTACTTTGTCAAACTGCATAAACATTTGTATGTATCTGAATATTTTGTGGTAATTTCAAATATAATGTAGTTTATAATTATAATTGGACAACCATGCATCCTATTTTTTCCTGAACATGTCCTGGTCAGGATTTGTAAATTGCCTAAAATGTCCTGGGTTTGGTTTTGTTTTCCTGTTGTTTTCATACTTGATGAAGGTGATGACTTTGACCAATAGTGTGCAGGTATTATACATAATCGACCAATTGTGGTGTGCGAGAAGGCGGATTCTACAGTGAAGGGTCAAAGCAATGCATTGCAAATACACTGTAGAAAGCAAGTCAGTATGAAAACATATGTATGCATATTAGTGCTGTCAAACGATTAATCGCCGATTAATCGCATCCAAAATAAACGTTTTTGTTTACATATGTGTGTGTACTGTGTATATTTATTATGTATATATAAATACACACACATGCATGTATATATTTCAGAAAAATATATTGTTTATATATTAAATATATTTATCATATAAATTATATGTATAGACATGTAAATACATGTAAATATTTTCAAAATATATACTGTATCTGTGTGTATATATATACATAATAAATATACACAGAACACACATATATTATGCAAACAAAAACTTTTATTTTGTATGCGATTAATCGCTTGACAGCACTAATACATATCTATGAAAACAAAGCCAAATTTTAGACAATTTAGAAAGTATGAACATTTGAACATTTTGTATTGAACAACTTTATTATACAAGATTCATATGGACGAGATTGTCAAAATGAAAGTTTATAATGGTGTGGTTAATCTCAGAACTCTTTATTAAAGAATTATATTAAATGGCATGTAAATTCTGATCCTCCATTTTGCACATCTGAGCAGTTTGTAAGCAGTAGTTGTGTTTGTGTGTCTGTCATCAGGCTGTGCTGTCCAGCATTGTGTTTGTGAATCTGAAGGGAATGTTCATGCAGTGTCAGGATATTCCTGCTCTGTGGAGGAGCAGCAGAGTAGATCTGGTGAGATCTGATCATCAAGACTCTAACTCTGTGTCTGTATAAGATTATGTGTCCTGACTGTGTTTCTCTCTTTCTGTCTCTCAAGCTAGTGTGGCTGGTGACGTTTCTCTGTACTGTTCTGTTGAATCTGGACCTGGGTCTGGCAGCTTCCATCATCTTCACACTGCTCACTGTGATCTGCAGGACCCAGCAGTGAGTATGTGTGTGTGTGTGTGAGAGAAAATACATTTGTGTGTCTATCAAGATCCTGATTAGTTCATAAGCATAACTGTCGTTATTTTTTTCTTTCTAGTCCCAGGTACTCTTTGCTTGGCAGGGTGTCTGACACAGAACTGTACTTAGAAACAGAGTCATATAAAGAGGTGAGACTTCCTTATAGGCAAACCGTTCATTTACGTGTGTGTGTGTGTCTGTGTTTATTTATGGTACTTATATCATCTATATTTGTGTTTCTGGACAGGCTAAAGCAATCCCAGGTATCACTATCTTCCGTTCCTCTGCAATGATCTACTATGCAAATGCTGAACTCTATCAAGAGGCTCTATTAAAGAAGGTGCCACACACAACAGATGAATTACACACAGGATCAAAGACTAAAAATAAACCAACAACAGCTTTCAGCTTTTCTTTCTTTCTTTCTTTCTTTCTTTCTAGAGTGGAATTAACGTTCCAAAGCTGCTCAAACTGAAAAAGAGGAAAGAGGAGAATGCAAAAAAGAAACAATTGAAGGAACAAGATAAACAGGTGAGAGAGAAATGCTGTAATGAGGATTACTGAAGAAGAAAATAGTGTTTCAGTCTAAGTACCACAAACACATATACACATTAATTATAATTACTACACACTAACCATACCCATATAAGAAAACTTGGTAACACTTTAGTTTAGGGACCAATTCTCACTATTAACTAGTTGCTTATTAGCATGCGTATTACTGGCATTATTGCCATTATTACTGGTATTATTGTTAGTACTTATAAAGCACATATTAATGCCTTATTCAGCATGACCATATTCTAAACCCTACCCTATACTGAAATTTAACAATTACCTTGCTAACTATTAATAAGCAGTAATTAGGAGTTTATAAAAGCAAAAGTCGTAGCTAATAGTTTAATAGTGAGAATTGGTCCCCAAACTAAAGTAATCAAAAACGTATTTTTGTGTTTTAGATTTAAACAAAAATGAACTTTTTAGTTATGAATCATTTTCATATGACAGCATTTTAGTGCAACATAATAAATATTTTGAGAATAAAGTCATCGTGTTCTGACAATCTCATAATTGGCCTTTTACAAGACTAAAGTCGTATATTTATGAGAATAAAGTCATTACACTATGGGATCAATGTGAATGTTTTTTTTTTTTTTACTCATAATAGACCTTTTTATAAGAAAGTCAACGATTTGAGAATAAGGTCACACTTTTATTAGATTAAAGTAGTAATATTTTGAGAATACAGTCAGAATTACGAAAATAAATTCATGTTTGTTTTTCTATAATCAAGATTTTCAATTAACTTCTGTTGTTTTTATACTTATTGTATTATGAAATTTAGCTTATATCTTTTATATTTTCTAACCTTAAAAACAACCTATATGAACCTCTATGCAATTTTACATTTTCTGAATTGTTCTTCATGAGGACCAGCAATGAAAATGTATTCATCAAAAAATCCCGAAATAAAATGTATCACAGTTTCCACAGAAATATTAATCATCGCAGCTGTTTTCAACATTAATAATAATAAGAAATGTTTCCTGAGCAGCAAATCAGCATATCAGAATGATTTTTGAAGGATCATGTGACACTAAAGTGCCACAGATTCACCAGCCACATCAGCCACACCAGCCACCTACACCCGTTCACAATCACCAGATTACTAATTACGAACACCTGATGTCACTTGTGCACTATATCTGTTCACTCACCTCAGTAGCTCACTGACTGGTCTCAAGGTTGCATACCTTACCTCATGCCTCTCCACAGCCCTCTGGATCTCCGTGGCTCTGTGTCTCCCGTCGTCTTGCTGGATCAAAGATTAACGTCACAGTAATGTCACTACTGTCTGGAAGGGCGCTGCAGTGGGCCGAAGCTCTCTGGAATTCGCGCAGTCCCCTAGTGCGCTCCTATGATGCCTTCATTGATCATTTCCGCAAGGTGTTTGGCAAAACTACCTCAGCGGTCTCCGTGCACGATGAGCTCTTTCGACTACGGCAAGCGATTATGTCCATCCATGACTATACAGTTCGATTCCGTACCCTCGCGGCAAGCTGCCGATGGAACGAAACGGCCCTTCTATCAGCCTTCCAACGTGGTCTAAACCCTTCAATCAGACAGCAAATGTCCATCTATGAGGACACCGTAGGTCTAGGGAGCTTTCTGCAAAAAGCGCTGCACATCTCCCAACATCTAACCGCTTATCACATCGAGGATTCCTCATCCGCTGCCGCCTCACCGAGTAATGCTCTTCCGGCACCCGAGCTGACGCAAACTAACTGTTATCATCTATCAACCACAGAACGGGCCTGCTGAATCACCCAAGGGCTCTGTCTGTACTGTGGGTCCCAGGAGCACCTTCTGCCCTCCTGCCATATTCGCCCCACACGCTCAGCGGTGAGTACAGTCCATATTCATCCTGATGTCTCAAGTCTGCCTCACATTGATGCCCTTCTAATGTACATGAACCACTCTTTTCCAGTCAAGGTCTTGGTGGATTCGGGAGCTTCAGGAAATTTAATCTCCTCCATCAGTCTTACTAAAATCAAGCTCCCTCGACACCGTAATTCCACCATCTACCAAATCTCCAATATACAAGGAAAACCGCTGAGCAAGGGGTTGGTGCGCCATCGCTCCTGGGAAGTCACTCTTCACATCGGAAACTTCCATGCTGAAAGGGGGTGGTGCGCCATCGCACCCCGGAAGTCACTCTTTGCATCGGAAACTTCCATGCTGAACAGATTTCGTTCCTGGTGCTGGAGGAGGCTACAGTAGATATCATCCTGGGGCGTCCCTGGCTGGCTAAACATCATCCAGATATGCACTGGAACTCTGAGGAAATACTTTGGTGGAGTGAATCCTGTTTCAGAACATGTTTAGCAGATCTCCCTCTTCCAGGCTGAGCTAAGCTCTCCATACCACTCTGCTCTACCACTATTGAGAGCCCAGATTCACAAAGCTCAGTCCACATTCCAGGCGCCTACAGGGCTTTCCAGGATGTGTTCAGCAAGGTCGCGGCAACCCATCTTCCACCTCCTCGGCCATGGGACTGCGATCGACCTGCTGCCTGGGGCCAAATGACCTAAGGGACATGTCTATCCCCTATCGATCCCGGAGCACGCTGTTATGGAGGAGTACATCAAGGAGGCATTACATCAAGGGTTCATCCGTCCTTCCACTTCTCCTGCAGCATCCAGTTTCTTCTTTGTGGCGAAGAAGGATGGAGGCCTACGCCCTTGTATCAACTATCAAACACTCAACTCCCAAATCATCAAATTTTCCTATCCACTCCCTCTGGTACCAGCCTCGTTGGAGGAACTCCGTGGTGCCCGGATCTTCACGAAACTCGATCTACGCAGTGCCTACAATCTTATCCGCATTCGAAAAGGAAACGAATGGCAAACTGCATTCATAACACCATCCGGTTATGCCGTATGGCCTTTCAAACTCACCATCCATCTTCCAAAATTTCATGAATGAAATCTTCTGTGATATGCTCAACAAATTCGTAATCATCTACATCGACGACATTCTCTTTTACTCGCCCAATCTTAAGGAACACCAACAGCATGTTTCCCAGGTACTCCAACGTCTCCGCGAGCACCACCTCTACCTCAAACAAGAAAAGTGTGAGTTCCATTTAACCACCATTCAATTATTGGGCTACATAATCGCACCAGAGGGAGTCCAAATAGACCAAAACAAGGTGGAAGCAGTGAGGAATTGGCCACAACCCACCACGGTCAAAGAGCTGCAGAGATTCCTGGGATTTGTGAACTTTTATTGGCGTTTCATAGCCCATTATAGTCAACGGTCGGCTCCACTTACCTCTCTCCTCTGTCAGAAGCCAAAGACCCTCTCCTGGACGCCTGAAGCCACACAGGCCTTTCTGCAGCTCAAATCCTCTTTCTGCACCGCTCCAGCCCTAACCCATCCAGATCCGAACCATCAGTTCGTGGTGGAAGTGGATGCTTCCACTCTAGGAGTAGGTGCAGTATTATCCCAATGGAAGGGTGAACCCCCCCGTACTCCATCCATGCGCGTACTTCTCCAAGAATATGTCCCTAGCGGAGCAAAACTACGACATCGGGAACCGCGAGTTACTGGCCATCAAACTCACGCTGGAAGAGTGAGTCTTCGAAGTCATAACTGATCACAAGAACCTCCAATACCTCCGTGAAGCTAAACGTCTCAATCCCCGACAAGCCCGATGGGCCTTATTCTTCACCCATTTCCAAGTCACCGTAACCTACTGCCCTGGGCATAAGAACCTCAAAGCAGACGCTTTGTCACGACTTCACCAACCAGATCCATCACCAGATAACCTGGAACCCATTCTCTCACCCACAGTGTTCGCATGTCCAATCACCTGGGATGTGAATGACCAAATTCGTGCCGCCACTCTCACAGAACCCACTCCGCCGGGAGGTCCGGAAGTGAGATTGTATGTACCTACCACTCTACATCTCACCCTTCTGGACTCCATCCACACTTCTCCGGGATCAGGTCACCCAGGCAGCCAACGAACCCTCTCGCTCCTCCGGAACAGATACTGGTGGCCCAGCATGGCTCAGGATGTTGCCGTTACGTCAAGGGTTGTTCGGTCTGTGCCATCACATCCACTCCACGCCGTTTACCTACAGGAAAACTGGTTCCCATACCTGTTCCACGCCGACCCTGGTCCCACATTGGAATTGATTTCGCCACTGATCTTCCACCCTCTGACGGATTCACTACCATATTTGTCGTGGTGGATAGATTCTCCAAAACCTGTAAATGAATCCCCTTACGTGGATTACCCACTGCTTTGGAGGCAGCTGAAGCTCTCTTCGAGCATGTCTTTCGACACTTTGGTCTCCCTGAAGATAACGTTTCAGATAGAGGGCCACAGTTCATATCCAGGGTCTGGCGTGGTTTGTTCCGTCCGCTGGGAGTGTCTGTCAGCCTTTCCTCAGGTTATCATCCCCAAACCAACGGCCAGACCGAACGCAAGATCCAGGGCATCGGGCGGTATCTCCGAGCCTACTGTCACGACCACCAGGACAGCTGGAGCCAGTATCTTCCCTGGGCCGAGTACGCTCAGAACTCGTTGCGACAGGAAATGACTGGATTAACACCATTCCAGTGCGTGCTCGGATTTCAACCACCACTCTTCCCCTGGACTGGAGAGCCCTCGGAAGTCCCTGCGGTTGACTTCTGGTTCCGTGAGAGTGAGAGGGTATGGGACTCGGCACATGTCCATCTCCAGCGGGCAGTACGGAGACATAAAGACTATGCTGATGCCCGTCGAGCACCCACGCCTGTGTACCAACCAGGTGACCGAGTTTGGCTCTCCACTCGGGATATTTGTCTCCAGCTGCCCAGCAGGAAGCTGAGTCCCCGTTATGTCGGTCCTTTCCCTATCACGAGGCAAATTAATGATGTCACATATGAGCTCCAACTCCCAGACACCTACTGCATCTCACCCACCTTCCATTTGTCTCTGCTAAAACCTTTCACTAATTCACTTCTCCCTCCTTCCCCACGGCATTCAAGCAGGCTCGGATAACCCCACTGCT